GCCTCCCTCCCTGGCCGTATTCTCTCTTCCTTGGAAGCAGGCGTGTTCTGAGATAGCGCTTCTGGGAAACTGGGCTGAGAGTCTTGTTTGTGCAAAGAACATGTTTTTCTTCCACAGACAAGCGCTGCGTTTACGCCATAAATGCCCGCTCTGCTTGTCCTCCACCCCCCTTCCCTCTGGCATCTCCCCACCTCCTGCCGGCCTGGCAGGGGCGGTGGGGAGGCAGGGCCTGGCTGGGAGCCGCGAGGGGGTCCAGGAAGGGGCTCCTCTGTGAGCTGGGGCCACGGCAGGCGACGTGGGCTGGACACACGGTCCCCGGCCCAGCAGGTGGGGCAGGCCTCGGTTTCCCATCTCTGACAGGGACGGCAGCCCTGGCTCCAGGTCATCTGAGAAGACCACATGGCGCACATGACCTCAGCAGGTCCAACCCCAAGCCACGCGCAGGACCCAGGACCAGCACAGGACCCAGGACCGACTGCGCTGGGCCAGGGAGACGCAGAGGGAGCCGAGATTGCAAGCACAGGGCGGGCCCAGGTGGGTGAGGGACCCCGGAGCCTGCGGCCCCCCAGTGGGCGCTGGGCCCTGCACCGCCCTGCCCTCCAGAGCAGGGGATCCGCAAGGTCTGTCCCCCAGATGGAGCGAGTGCGTTCCTCACCGGGGCCTGTTCCCTGTCGCCGTGGGTCTCACATTTAGATTTTTAAACTCATTTAGGAACACAGTTCCCACCACCAGACACTTTCCAGACCCGAGTGATCTGCGGAGCCAAATTGGACTAAAGAGTCTCCTCCCCTCCTTTGAGTAAACCCAGGTCCCCGGACCTCAGGCCGGCCCCACCCTGTGCCGGGCCACACCTTCCCGGGGACCTGACCGTCGGGGAGGGGACAGATGCAAAGCCATGATCCGTTCACCAGGGGGAGGTGCCCGTTCTTTCTGGGGCGAGCACAGCCGTGAGCCCGACACCCCCAGTTCTCCGTGACTCTGCACCCCCACTTGCGCCCCGAAGCGAGCGTGGCGCACACCCATTGCGTCCATAGGGATGCTGCCCGGCCCTGCTGTGCATCAGGCAAAAGGCTGGAGACGCCGCGTGTCCGATCCTCGGGTCAGCGAATGGCTCAGGGGAAACGAAAGCTGTCACGGACCCGGCCGGCCGGGAAGGTCGCGGAGGCAGAAACGCACACCCGGTAGACGCGGGCCTGGCAGCGTGGCCGGGCAGGACCCGCTGGGTTCCGGGGTCCACACCTACACGTGTACGTCCAGGGAGAGGCTGCAGCGACGCCCGAGATAGTGATCCTGCGGTTAAGCTATTCCCTTTGGTTTATCTACACGCGTCATGTTTTTAAATGAGTATTTCACGGGGAAAAGAAGACGGACTGAAAAGCCCAATTCAGTAGGATGACGGCAGCAGCGAGAGTCCGAACAAGGTCCAAGTCGTGCAGAAAAGTAGGCTGTTCTGTTTGGAAGGGCTGGCCCTGGGCACACTCCCCGGAGGCCAGCGTCAAAGCCGTCCGCACTGAGGGGCACGCGAAGACGGCTCCAGTCCCAGAGGAGGACAGCACCCGCGAGGGGAACGCGAATCCAACCGGGAGACACTGGCACACGGTCCCCGAGCCTGCATCAGACAGCAAGGCCCCCGCAGGGCCAGGCCCGGGCCTTGACCTCGGGCAGGAGCAGCCTCTTGGGCGCCTACAGAAGCCTCTCTTCGCGGCCCCGGTCTGCGGCGGCGAGATACGCAGAGCGCTGGGAAGCACACACTGACTTACATAAAAATAAAGCCCTAGCCACCCTCCCGCAGAGCGTCTGTACATCAACGAGAAGAAAATGACAGAAAAGGGGAAATCCCCGTGGCCTTTAAAATATATAAAAAGAAGCTCAATTTTAAAAAAGGACCAAAAAAAAGAAAGAAAAATTACAAAACACACACAAAGAGAGAGAGAAAAAAAGAGCTCAAATTTCTTCCTGGAAGTAATGCTGGGTAAAATTACAATGAGATACTATTTCTCACCCACCAGCCTGGCAAAATCCAACAGTTACAGGTCATCCTCTATTGGCAAGACCGGGAAGCAAAGGCCCGTGGACGTTTGTGGGAATGTGAACTGGTCCCCGCCCCGCCCCATGGAAGACAATTTGAGCAGCATCCGTCAACATTATAAATGTATATGCCCTTGGACCCAGCAACTCCACTGCTAGGAATTTATTTTATAGACACTTGCTCAGGAGTGAAATGCGACCGGCGAGTTATTAATTTGCAGCACAGTATGTCATCATGAAATACGGACAACAATCCAAATGTCCAACCACAGAAAATGGGTTAAAGAAGTTGTCATCCGCCCATCCAGCGTGGCTCAGTGGTTGAGCGTCGACCTATGAACCAGGAGGCCACGGTTTGATTCCCAGTCAGGGCACATGCCTGGGTTGCAGTTCAATCCCCAGTGTGGGGCGTGCAGGAGGCAGCCGATCCATGATTCTCTCTCATCATTGATGTTTCTCTCTCTCTCCCTCTCCCTTCCTCTCTGAAATCAAAACAATTTTTTTTAAAACAACAAACTAAAACCCTTTAAAAAAAAAAGTTGTCATCCATCTACCCAGTGGAATATTACACAGCTGGCAAAATGGCCTGGTCAGGACAAAAACAGTCCGGTAAGACCCTTTGAAAATTCACCCTTTAATAAAAGCAACAACAACAACAGAAACTATCAGAATCAACTTTTCCAGAACTCTGGAAATTAACCAGAGACTGGCAGCAGCCTGGGGAGTGTATTCAAGAAGAATGACTGAGTCTTGGGAGGAACCGCGTGCAGGGGCGGCTGAGGGACAGCGGAGAACGGGACTTCTCACTAGGAGTATCCCGGTATGTTCCCATTGTGGGATCACACAAATGTACTCCTACTCCAAAAATTACATTTAAAACAAAATTAGTGAAATAAAAATAAAAAAGAATAATGTTTACAAAAAAAGGCTGTGCCCGGGCCGGGTGCTCAGTTGGTGAGCGTTGTCCCAAAGCGCCAAGGTTCCGGGTTCAGTTCCAGTCAGAGCACATACAGGAATCAGCCAATGAAGCCACAGATAAGTGGAACAACAAGTCGATGCTTCTCTCTCTCCCTTCCTTTCTCTATAAAGTTAATAAATAAGTAAAATACTTTTTAAAATGAAGGCTGGAGCCCAAGTCTGATCAAACCTCTGGGTCGTTACTGATTGGCGGGACAGCGAGGTGCTGAGGCCCGCAGGACGCAGTCAGCAAACCCCAGGTCGTGGGGAATTCTCCCAACGGAAACCGTTCAGAAAAGAAAGGGAAGGATGGGAAGCTCTGGACAAGACGGAAGAGATCCAAGGAGCCCCGGCCGGTGTGGCTCAGCGGTGGGAGCTGCTCCTTCTGCGGGCAGACGCCAGCCCGCACCCGACTACAGCTCTGCCCCTCGGGCCTCCCAGCCAAACACTCATCCTGAGACCCAAGGAAATGACTCTAGAAATAGAAAAACGCTCCAGCACCAGGATGCTGGGAGCACTTTCCTTGGAAGAGTGACTAATTAGAGAGGAGCTAATTACCCCACAGCAGGCGGGGCGGGGGGCGGGGGGCGGGCGTGTGACAGCATCGCCACACCATTAACATGACGGGTCTGGAAGAACAGGGCCAGATGCCTTCATGGGGAAGGGGGAGGAGGGGAGCGTGAAGCAGGCCCGTAAGTCACAGCAGCTACAAGGCCTCAGGGCGGGAGCGGGACCAGCGAGGACTCTGGCCGGCGGAGACCGGCTGTTTTCTCTCCTCCTGCTTCTTCTCTGAACTGCACAGATTTCCTGGGATGAACAGAAAGGACACCCTTGCCTTTAGCTGAATTGCTGTGTTAACTAATTGGTGTAAAACTGATCCAGGGCTTTGGTGTGAGTGTGCAGATGTGTTCAGGTTTCGCATCTGGTCCCCTTTGCCTCTCACACCTCCGTCCAGGACCCTGATCTGACCAAGCAAAGCATCCGCCCCAACACGTGACGGGCAGTGGGTGAGGGGCATGCCTCGGCCACCCTCCGGGGCTGGGCCGGGGTCACCGAGACGGGAAAGGTCGTAGTGCCCTGCCCAGAGGACCACACAGCTGCCTGGTTCTCTAAATCGTCCACTTTATTTGAGACTCCACATGCCACAAATGTACATGAAAGTACCAAAATGTAGTTTAAACACAAACTCAGGAGCGGCATCACCAGAGGACACGGTCTGGCATCGAAAGGCAGGTGACACAGTCAGTCATTTAGCACCTGGTCACACACAAACCGTGGGACCCCCGCGGCTAACCCAGCCCCTTAGGAACTCACTGGGCTCAACTGTTTCTGGTCAGTCACACTCTGATGGGCAGTGGTCGGAGGCACGGCTGGTGCCGGGGCTGGCAAAGCCCGAGGCCTGCAAGGCGTCACGTGTTGGGTGCACACCCACCTGTGCCGATGGGCACCCACCTGTGTGAATGCGCACCCACCTGTGCGGATGGGCACCCACCTGTGTGAATGCGCACCCACCTGTGTGAATGCGCACCCACCTGTGCCGATGGGCACCCACCTGTGTGAATGCGCACCCACCTGTGCGGATGTGCACCCATCTGTGTGAATGCACACCCATCTGTGTGGATGCGCACCCACCTGTGGGGATGGGCACCCACCTGTGTGAATGCACACCCATCTGTGCGGATGCGCACCCACCTGTGGGGATGCACCGCCCGTAGGTGAGCACAGCAGGGGCCTCGGCTCCCCGTTAAGGACGTGGCAGAGTCAGCACAGCAGCACCCCTCCCTCCGACCCACTAGCCAGGCACTGGCCTCAGCTCCGTGACCAAGCGTGGCAGGCGAGCAGGCCGTGGCCACCGCGTCCCCTGGTCCACGGGGCCTGGGGGAGCGCCGCAGGGGCCCTGCCCTGTGACTGTCACCAAGCCTTGGGAGGTGGATCGTTTCGATGACACTGTGGCCTGTGTCAGACCCACAGTTGTTTTGTTTTTAAATGTCTGGGGTTATTTGTTCATCGCACCCAGTGGACCCGACACTTCTAGTTAGAATCCTGCATCCCCAACGCAAATGGGACTGGTGACCATCGGAGGGGCCCCGGGCCCTCCCTCACAGTCCTGTCCCTTTCCTGTAGGACTCGGGCGAGGCCATGAGAACTGTGGGTGCTCACGTCCCCACCCACGGCTCCCTCACCTCACTTTTTAGGCTGAAACCCTGCCAACGGCCAGGCTCCCTCACCCAGTAACTTATTTCCTTACAAGGTTACAAGGTCTCAGCAAATCTCAAATCCTAAAGGAGCCAATAGCGAGGCAAAGGGCAGAGGGAGGCTGCGCTGCCCCAGCACCATGAGGCCCCGAGGGGGTCATCAGGGCAGGGCCTCCGGGCCTGGAACGATCAGGGCAAATGCACTGGTTCAGACCCCGTGGCCCACTCCTCCCACCTTTCAGCCCAGGCCTCCTCTCTGTCCCCTCGTGATTAAGGGGGTGTGGCCTTGGCATCCAGCCTGCCGAGCTGCGCCTCCCCAGCCAGGGCGCCCACTGACCCTCCGAGGCCTGGAGCAGAGGCCCTGGGCCTGCCCCTCCTGCCCTCGGGAGGGCAGCTGAAAGGCGGGGAGAGAACTCCGCTGTATGAAAGGGGGTGTCCGCAGTCGGCCTCCTGGGGCTGGGACAGACACTGACAGGTGAAGAGGAGAAAGCCCCAGAGCAGGGAGGGGCGGGTCTCTGTGTCCCTCAGGCTCCTGCTGCCTCGGAGCGTCTGCAGGCCTGTGGCAGGAGGTGGCCTTGGGGTGAGTCTCCCTTTAACAAAGGCATAAATGCCAGACCCGCCTTCCTCTATCCCTCTCCTCCCACCCCATCGGGCTCTCACTCACACATACCCTGCACACGAGTGTGCACATATGCAGACACTTGATCATACACAGAGCTGGGGACACATATGCACGCACACGTCACTGTGGACTCAGACACGCACGCAGACACGCACGCACACACGCCGGTGCTGACCAGGCAGCATATGGTCCGCTGCTTAACAGCCCGGCCCTGCCGATCGGGGGCCGTTAGGGTGGGTTCCTTTCCCTCGTCAAATGCTGCAGAATATAAATTGCAATTAACAGCGATGCCAAAACAGCACTTAGCGAGAATAAGCGCCTTCTCAGCATCTGGCGAGTCCCGCCTCGGGGCAGGGGTGGCGCAGTCTTGCTCCAAGTGAGGCTGGTGCAGGGGACACAGAGCACAGGCCCCGCTCCCCACCCTCCGCGAGCGGCCCCACCGGCATCTGTCAGCATAAACGATGCCACTGGGTAAAAAAGTGCCTGCTCATGAGACCACCACCCAGGCGAGAGCGAGGGGTAGGCACACAGCCGCAGCCCGGGACCCGAGTCCGGGCTCTGGATGAAAGGAGGCCTGGCCTGCGGGTCCCAGACAGCCAGGCCACCTGCCTTCCTCCTGGGCTGTGACCATTCTTCCTGACCATCGTCGCAGGGTGGCCTCTAGGGCCACCTAAAAGGAATCCCAGAAATTGGGGAGAGGGTGCCCCCCCAGACCTTCATCTACTGCCGTGGATGAGGCGGCCAGGAAGAGACAGGGCCCGGTGTTGCTCCCGGGCTAGGTCAGGACCCGAAGGTGAGGCTGCAGGCCTGGTGGGGGGCCTGCTGAGGGCAGGCAGAGCCGCCAGAGCTGCTGGGACCGAGGAAGATCCCAGCGGAGGCCTGTGCGCCCCGGGCTGGGCCCACGGGCCTCCTGCAGCCTCCACCACTGCAAGGCCCCTGGGACCCTCGTCTGGCGGGTGGGGCTGCTGAGCTGTTTGCCCTTTGTGACCCCAGGAAAGGGCATGGGAAGATACCAAGGGGCCAGGTCCCCAGTCCTTTAGCAGCAGGTAAACTGCAGGATGCACAGCACGAAATGGGGGTGACTATCACCATGGAAACAGAGTGGGAAAACAACCGAGCTGAGGGCCAGGATGGGCAGTGGAGTGTGGGCTCTGCACCCCCAGCCCAGGGGGAGAGGGAGGTGGGGTGAGTCAAGCCCAGCTCGGGGGGCCGCCCCGCCCAGCGATGCCCAGTTGGAAGGTCTCGCGGTGGAGAAGGTGGGAGCCCGCACACGGGCAGGCCGGGCGCGTGTGTGGAACAGCCGCATGGAGCTTGTTAGTGCCGAGTACAGCTGGCTGCAGTGGGGTCATGCGATCATCCTCCGGCCTCAACACCCTCGTTTCCTAATGAAGCCACAGCCACCTGTTTCCCCAGAACCACTGGCTCCCGAGAGAACTGCCGCCTGAATGCCGGCCCGCCCAGCACCCGGCCCCAGGGACCCTGCCCGGCCCCGGCCCTGCCCTGGGTGACGTCATCTGGCTGGAAGCGCACTGGACACTGGCGGGTGAGACGTGTCTTACTGGGCAGGAGCGCCCACACCTGCAGCCCCCAACCTGCGGGCTCCTTGCTGCCCCGCTCACAGGGCCTGAGGGAGAGCTCGCTGGGGTGGGCGTGGCCACCCAGCTCTGGGCCCCAGGCGCCCCCCACGGCAGGTGACCAGGAACCTGCGAGCAGAGGGACACTCTTGGGGGTTGAAGTGAGGGGAGCGCTGGGGACCTGGTCAGAGCCCCAAGAAATCAGGGCGCCGCATTCGTGTCTCAGGTGAAAAACGCCCCGGCCAGGCCTGAGTCGCTGGCCGCAGGCTCTTCCCGCCTGTGCTCACAGCCCAATCCACTGGCGAGTCCTCCCAGGAACGGGAGCCCGGGCTGGCGGGTGCGGGTGGCGGAGGCTGCCTTCCTCTGTGCCCGCCCCGGGGTCCCAGGTCTGCGGACAGGGGGCGAGCACCGTGGCGGCCCAGGCAGAGGCGGAGGCCACACGGCCGCCGAGCAGTCCCGCATCCTCGGCCACGAAAACCACAGGCCGCGGCGGGAGACTGGCTGTCCCTTCACCACCACAGGTTGGGCGGCTCCTCGGCCACTCGGCTCTTAAACAAGGTGATCTCGTCCAGGTGCACCATGGGGACGTCCCGGATGACGTCAGTCAGGCCCTCGTGCAGCAGGGGGAAGATGACGACGTTCAGCGCGGGCCGCTCGGCCTGGAAACTGAACCAGAAGCAAGGTGTGAGCAGGGCCGCGAGGCGCCTCGGGAGGCAGCCGCCGTGGGCCATGGGCTCCATGCATCCACCTGACTCTCCCACTCCCAGGTGATGCAGAGGTGGGCCTCGGCCCTTCCCACGGGGCTGGAGGAGAGGCCCGAGGGGCGGGGCAGGCAGAGGGAGCCTTGCCTGGGGGGAGGTGGTCACGCTGCCGTGCGGCACCCCCTGGGTCAGGCAGAGGAATGGAGGCCCAGAGGCCAGCCTGTGGGAAAGCCCCTGCTTTCCTGGGCAGAGGGAGGCGGGTGTCCCAGGAGGGGGAGTGACGCACCTGCAGGGGCTGGAGAGAGGGACGAGGGCCGAACCCCCACCCTGGAGGGGAACAAACTCCCAAGGCAGGTGAGGCAGCAAATCTTCCAGGACAGGAAACAAGGCAGCCGCTGGGAGCCAGCAGCCATCACTTGAACACGTGACAGCAGCTGTCACATCACTCCCTGCGCTGCACCCCGGGTCCCCTCCCTGCAGGGGACAGAGTCGAGCGTACCGTGTCCGAGGGGCCTTGGCAGGCTGGGCACTGTGCTAAATGCCAGCAGACACTCCGTGTTGCCCTCTGCGTGGCCGCGCAGTGAGAAGCGGGCTTGGGAAAGTGACGCCCAGGCCACAGGCCTCAGCCGGTCCAAGCAGAGTGCCCCCCGGCCCCGTCAGACGGGGACCAGCCACGTGCAACTGCCCAGAGACAAAACCAAGTGCCCCCTGGAGCTCAAGGAGAAGGGGGGATGCCGTGGACCCCCAGGAGTGAGAAAAGACACCCAGAACCTCAGGTCTCAGGCAGCAAGAGGCGGGACGAGCCACACAAAGGGAACCTGGGCATTTGCCCAACAAGCAAGGCCCCCACCGGCGCCTGCTCCACGGAAGGAGGAACCCGTCCCAGCCCCCGCAGGCCCCAGCACTGGGTTAACGACCGTGTAAAGTCGATGCCCGGAAAGACTCATAAAACTTGATGTTTGGGCAATAAAGACGCCGAGGAAGTGCCTCCCAGCCCTGCGCATGCTGTTCTGCTCGAGGCAGCGCTGTGTGGCCGTGAACCCACGGCACGTCCTTGCCTGCAGCCGCCGCGCCCCTGGCCACACTTGAAAGGGAATATGCTCCGAAGTGGGACCTGGTGCAAAGGCCCCTGCACACACACACACACACACACACACACACACACACACACACACACGGGTTGTGAGGAGCTGTCAGTGTGCTGAAGGGGATGGGATGGATTTCTCAGCAAAAGCCAGGAAGGCAGCGGCTGCAGCCCCTCCTCCAGGCCGGCGGCTCTGGGCCGCAGCTGCCCAGGTGGCCAGAGGCACTGGGGGACTGCGCAGAAGGGCGCTGGGTGGAGGTGCCACCCCCGGATGAAAGACACTTCCCTCCGAAGGCTATCCCTTCAGTTCGCACCCGGATGAGCCTGGCCTGGACCAGACCCAGCGAACGCCCAGGCCTCTTCCTGTCCCCACCCAGAGGCGGGCTTTGCAGAGTGAGGCCTAGTCAGTGACCAGACAGCAAGGAAGACGCAAATGCAGAGGAAGAAGTCGCTCACTTCCCAGTGCGGGGCTGGGGCTCCCCGGGAGGGAGGCACAGCTCTGGCCAGGCCGGGCGTGTGTGGGCCATGTGCTCTGCAGACTCTGCTATGTAACTCACGTACGTGTTCAATTGTGCTTTTGCGTGACTCAAATGTCGTCTGAGGTTTAAGTAAACAGGTTCCGTGAGATAAAACAAAACTCATTAGAAGCTGGGCTGGTGACTGCGTGGGGACTCGGGACCTGATCCCCATGGGGCTAATCGCATCTCTAACAGCCTCTGGCCTGGAGTCACCTGGGAGCTGACAGTGCCCCCCCCCCCCAGGCCTCCTGGCGCACCCCCAGGACCAGCCTCACCCTCGGCTGCTCTGGCCTGTGCCCCCAGGGCTGTCACTTAGGTACCAGAGGCAAAGCCTACAGACCCAGCACGAAGAGGCACAGGGTCTGCCCTCTGATTCTGAAACCAACACCCGGAGCTCGGCTGCCTGCTCCCACATGGGGCGAGGCATTAAGACGGGCAGAGGAGGGGCAAGAGGAGACCCGGGGAGGTCACCCAGGGGTCATGGTTGACCTGGCAGAAAGGCCGTCCCTCGGGAGAGCCTGAGAGAAGCGAAAGGGCTCTGCGCTGGCAGCTGGAAGGGTCCCTGCCGCAGGCAGCTCCTGCCCGAGGCCCGTCAGCACACGCGGCTACGCCGCCCTGAGCACCCAGGGGGCAGACAAGCTCCACCTGAAGAACACTTACTGGGTTTGTTTCTCTGCCTGGGAACTGGAAGCAAAATTAAAGTTGACAGCCTCTTCCCCCCAAATAAAGGTCTTATGGAAAAGCCAAAGTAACAGGAAATTTTATGCAAGGCATTCGCGCTGTAACAACGAGGCTCAAGAAGCTCTGAGGTGGACGGTGGCCAAGAATCCCACAGCCTGTCCCAGCTGGTTTGGCTCAGTGATTCGAACGTTGGCCCACAGACCAAAGGGTCACAAGTTCGGGTCCCAGTCAAGGGCATGTATCTCAGTTGCAGGCTCGATTCCCAGCCCAGGTAAGGGTGTGGGCAGCAACCAATTGGTGTCTCTCTCACATCAGTGTTTCTCTCCCTCCCTCTCTCTCTCCTTTCCTCCCTCTCACCTCCTCCCCCCCTTCCACTTGCTCTAAAAATCAATGGAAGCCCTGACCGGTTTGGCTCAGTGGATAGAGCGCCGGCCTGCGGACTGAAGGGTCCCGGGTTCGATTCCGGTCAAGGGCATGTACCTTGGTTGCGGGCACATCCCCAGTGGGGGATGTGCAGGAGGCAGCTGATCGATGTTTCTCTCTCATTGATGTTTCTAACTCTCTATTCCTCTCCCTTCCTCTCTGTAAAAAAAAATCAATAAAATATATTTTTAAAAAAAAAGAATCCCGCCGAAACCGGTTTGGCTCAGTGGATAGAGCGTCGGCCTGCGGACTGAGGGGTCCCGGGTTCGATTCCGGTCAAGGGCATGTACCTGGGTTGCGGGCACATCCCCAGTGGGAGATGTGCAGGAGGCAGCTGATCGATGTTTCTCTCTCATCGATGTTTCTAACTATCTCTCTCCCTTCCTCTCTGTAAAAAATCAATAAAATATATTTAAAAAAAAAAAAAAAAAGAATCCCACAGCCAGCCTTGAACTCCCAGAATGCAGCGCGATGCTGCCTGGGGAGGTGGCACCCTCCGTGCTGGAGGCAGGGAAGGGGTGAGAAAAAAGAAAGGCGTTGGGAGAAGTGACAGCCGTCCAGCCTCTCGCTTTTCCTGCTCTCGCTCCGCTTGGTGGCCGCAAGCCTGAAGCTCTGGTTCCCGTGAGCCAGGGCGCCACCTGCTGGCACTCGCAGGACAGCAGCGGGCACCTCCCTGCGCTGCAGCCAAGGCCTCAGGGCAGGGGGCAGGGGCCCAGGCCTGAAAGTGCAGGTGGGCCTGCAGGTCCCCTGCAGGATGGATGCCAAATGGCATTTAGAAAGGTCATCTGGAGCTTTACTGATTGACACAAAAAACCCATGACGTAGCGATAAATCAAAAAATGAGACGACGAAAACCGCATGAGAGCCCATCGAGGTCCGCAGGCTCCGGGGCCCTCCGCTTGGTGGAACCGCGGGAGCCTCCACTTAAAAATAGCTTGACGCACAGTCTACACCTTCAGAAATATTATCAACACAGAGTTTTACAGCCAAGGAGGGGGAACCTTCGCCAGGGTTTCTCCTGGGCAATTCAGCAGCAAACCGCCAAGACAACAGGCCCAGCGCAGCCGCCGGCCCGGGCCCAGGACCCTGCAGGCCCCGGCTGAGTGGGATTCTGAGAGCAGCTGGGGGACACAGAGCTGGAGGAGGAAGTGCCACCGTCCCGGCCACGCGGAAATGAGGGTGCCCACCCTCAGCCCTCCCCCGGGGGCGCGGGGGCATTTCCTCAGGAGCGGAGACAGCTCTGCTCCGCAGCTCCTCTCCAGGAAGCGCACTCGGCCTCCCGATTCTGGGTGCTCGCCGGATTCTGGGTGCTCGCCGAAGCCCGGCGCAGCTCCGGGGAGGCCGCCTGGGGGGAGACGCAGCCCCTGGGAGGACAGTTGTTTTGTTGCTGTTGTTGTTTAAATATATTTTTACTAGAGGCCGATGCACGGAATTCGTGGGAGAGTAGGCCCTCGCAGACCTGGTTGAAGCCGGTCTTTCTGCTGTTCGGTCTATTTGCATATTATGCTTTTATTATTATAGATTGATTTCAGAGGGCGGGGGGGAGATGGAAACGTCAATGATGAGAGAGAATCACTGATCGGCTGGCTCCTGCACGGCCCCCTACTGGGATTGAGCTGGCAACACGGACATGTGCTGTTGCCCGGAATCGAAGCCGGGATCCTTCAGTCCCCAGGCCGACACTCTGTCCCCTGAGCCAAACCAGCCAGGGCAGGACAGTTGTTTTTAAATCTGCCGCCTCTGCCCACAACCATCCCAGTAACCACTGCTACTACCTCTAAACAAAGGCAGAGACGTGAGAAATTCAAAGTTCCAAGTTCTCTGCACCAACTCACAGAAGCAGAAGCAAGACAGAGGCTCCGGAGCTGGGCGGGGGGTGGGGTGGGGTGGTGGCGTTTGAGGGGAGAGCCCAGCGTGGGAAGATGAGAAGGCTCTGTGATGGACGCACAGCAGTGGGAATGTGCTGATTACCACTGAGCTGGGCTCTTAAAACAGTTCAAATGCCACATTTCCTTACATACATTTTACCACAGTAAAAAAAAAAAAGGCTCGGCCGGCGTGGCTCAGGGGTTAAGCATTGACCAATGAACCAGGAGGTCACAGTTCGACTTCCAGACAGGGCACACGTCCGGACTGCGGGCTCCATCCCCAGTGGGGGACGTGGCGTGCAGGAGGCAGCTGGTCCATGGTTCTCTCTCATCACTGATGTTTCTATCTCTCTCTTCCTCTCTGAAGTCAAACAAAAATGTGTTTTAAAAAGAAGGCAGAGCTGTAAGAGGAAGAGCGCGACGGTATGGCCTGAGGAGCGGTGCCCGAGATACACTATGAAGTGGGAAAGCAAAGCGCACGGAGAAGCAAAGCAGGTCGGAGAAAGGGCTGCGTGCTCCTCTGTGCACAGCACGGACAGGAGGGTAGAGGAGGCTGCGAGGCTGCGACTTCTCCAAGCGCCCCTTTTATTTTTATTCTTATTTTTTTACCAAGCACCCCTTTTAGAGCTGACTCAGAAACACAGGAGACTTGGCACACCAAGAACACGCACACAGAAATAAACCCAGCAGGACGTGGGGGGACTGGAAGGCGGAGTGCTCCTGGGGAAGCAGGCCCGACCGCACGCAGGTGAGTGGCGGGACCACGAGGGAGGAGGCGGAGGTGAGGCACCACCTGGGAAAGCAGCGTTCTGACTGGATACCGTGAGGCTAAGACAGAGAGCGGCACAATGTTCCCCTCGGGTTTGTCTCTCACGATGCAGTGGGTTAGCGATCCCAAAACTGCCGCTCGCGTCCATGGACTGAATAACTCACAGACACTGTGGACGAAGCCAGGCTGCTGGCGCTGGAGGAGGAGTCACAGGAGGGGGGGCAGACTACGAGGGCGCTGTGACGCTGGGCTGGAAGCGGAGCTGTCCGTAGGAGCTCGTTTTCAATGTACACGCACAAGGGTGATACGGAAATAAGCACAGGCGTGTGGTACACGATCAACCTCCTACTCCGTCCCGGATACTCTGTCCCGGGGAGGAGCAATGAGCACACCTACGGCCCGCCTCTCGGTTCTACATGCCTCTCCCCACGCAGGACCAGGTTTCCTCCGAGATGGCCGATTCCAGGGCTGGGGCGGGGAGACACCAGAGGAAAACACCTGACCGTCTGTAGTGACAGAATAAGAAACGGGGAGCAGGGCCTTTCTCACAGCAGAGCTCTCCCGACCACACGCAGAAGGGACGAAGGAAGCAGACCACCACTGGGCGGACGCCAAGTGTTCCCTGTGTCAGACCTGCGGGCGCGAGAGCTGGTGGCGCCTGAGGAGAGACGGGCATCAGAGACTCCCCGTGTCTCCGCACAGGACGGTTCTTAATGAGAAAGGGAGCGACAGGGCTTCACAGCAGGGACACCCGGCAGCCCCGCCCTCACCAGGCAGCCAAGGCCAACCTGGCAGGACAGGCACGAGGACACCCTGTCCCTGAACTGCTAGAGAGGAGGACGCAGCATCACCGCTGTGCTTTTCTGGCCAACAAACATCAGACAAACCAAACGATGGGCGTTCCACCAGCGCCCTTCACAAGTGTCAAGGTCATGGAAGACAGGGTGGATGGAGGCGACAAGACCGCTGAGCTGAGGGGGCTCTGTGTGGAATCCTGGGACAGGACCAGTGGGGAAACCGAGGCAATGCTGAGACCAAGGGGGACGGGCTGAACGGCGTCGCCCGCCTGTTTGATGGCACCATGGGACACAGGAGGGAAGCTGGGAGGTGAGAACACGTTTGCCGGGGCCAAGGGAGAGCTCGCCCAGGGAGGAGGCCCTGCTGTGAATGGAAACCAGCCCCTGTTCCCGCCATCACTGCCCAGGGGTTCTAATTGCAGGAAGTGCTTGTGGGCGCTCACTCAGTGAAGCCTGAGGAAACAACAGCAACCAGGACTCTCCGGGACGGGTGCTGGGATGGCGCTACCGCCAGGCCTCCTGCACCCACAGCCCCCAGCCCCCCACCCCAGCCCGCGCCCACTCACCTCCGGAGGAGGGTCTGCTGCAGGCTCTTGCAGGTGGCCAGGGACTCCCCGGTGAACATGTGGCACACGACGACGTGCAGGCAGCGGGTCATGAAGGCCAGCACGGCCTCAGGCTGCAGGGTGCCGCTGCGGGACACCAGGCACAGGCGCTGCAGGGCCGAGCACTGGCTCAGTGCCTGGAAGAACTGCGCGTTGGCGCTGAAGTAGGGCTGCTCCAGCCTGTGGGGGAGAGGGCGTGTGAGTCGGCGGGAGGCCCGCGCAAGCTGCTTTGAGCGGGGCCTCCCAGTCTAGGCCCCCCAAGCACAGTAGGGACCCAGTCTCCCCAGCAAGCAGCAGACCCTGACACAGGCACAGGCCGGGGTGACACTTCTGGTCCCTCGATGTTCTGAGTGGCCAAGGCCGGCCAAGCAAGTCCAGCCAGCCACCCCCACCAAGGCCAGGCACCGTGCACAGCGCTCGCTGTAAAAACAGCCAGACCTGGGACCGTCTCTCTCTGGGCCACGGCCCTGCCCAAGACCGCCATCTGCACGCCACACGCGGAAGGCCTGCTTCTCAGCATCAGCTGAGGCCAGGCCGGTGCCGTCCGGGACACGCCAGAAAGGCAGCCTGCAGCTGGGCGCTCACTAGGAGAGGAGCTTCGGGATGAGCAGGAAATCCCCACCCCACCCCAGTCCAGGCCAAGTCCCCCGGTGGATGCGGAGAGCGACACAGTGAGAGTCTGACCCAACCAGGACGCAGGAAAGCTGGGGGGCGCAGTCAACAGGTGCCCCCCAGTCCCCAACCCAAACCCAGGCCTTGCCCTGCAGTCTCCATCGCCCTGACGCCCGGGACACTGGTCACAGGGTGAGGGAAGGGGTTTTAAGTCGGGTCCGTGAGAACAAGGGCAGACCCGGTCCCCGGACGCGCCTCCCACAGAAGCTCCTGCAGCGAGAACGTCTACCCGAGCCGCCGTCTGGGAGCCACCAGGCACGAGAATGCCAAGTGAGGCTGGGTCTGCGCTGTCATTAATGTAGAACTGCGGACACTGGTGTGGGGGACGCCCGTCCTCCTGGGGGTGCGCCTGTGAAAAGCCGGCGCCCCTCCTGCCCACACTCGGGGTGTGCAGGAGGGAGGCCCAGCAGGGCTGCGGGCACGGACAGCAGGGAGAGGACTCCGGGGATGAGTTTCATCCTGGAAAAACCGGGAATTCGGAGTCGGGAGCGGAGAGCAGCGCCACGGAGATGCCAACTCACGCAACAAAGGGTAAGGCGGTGACCTGGGCCCAGGGAGCCCAGAGCACGAGCAAGCGTCCTCACGACGGCTGTGAGTTTTCCTCAAGAGAAAGCCTAGACACACTATTTGGTTCTTTTAAACACAAATTTTGAAAAACCCCAAAGGTGAGCATCTCTACAGAACTGAGAGTGGGAACATGAAGGGGCCCACCTTCCAGAACCGGGACTGCCGGGCCAGTCACCTGCCGGGTGCCAGACGCAGCCAGCGGGAAGGCCAGCCTGCGCCTCGTCACTAGGTGGCGATGCAGGTCTGCGCCACCCGCCCAAGCCTCGGTTCCCACCTCCTGGGCTACACACCAAGCAGCAGAGCGAGGGAGCCGGCTGGGGACACGCACACTGTAAACTGTTCCCAACGAGCCAGCCACCTGCAGACTGTCCCGCCCTGAAGGCAGCACCTGCCACAGGTGCTCAGGGGCAGGATGGAGGGAGGTCCTGCCCACTCCAGCTGTTGGGGCGGGGCTGGCATAGCCAGACCGTCCCTGGGTGGGCTGACAGAGGAGGTCTGTGTTAGGGCAGAGGATGAGGACAAGGTACCCCCATGATTGGCCTTGCCTTGGGGGCCTGTGGCCCTTTTCCCAGCCATGCTCAACCTCCCAACCAGTAAGGCTCTGGCCTCCAACCCCTCTTGGAGGTGGTGAGATCCCCCTGAGGCTCTGTGGCAGACAGGGCTCAGGCCCTAGCCGGTTTGGCTCAGTGGATAGAGCGCCGGCCTGCAGACTGAAAGGTCCCAGGTTCGATTCCGGCCAAGGGCATGTACCTTGGTTGCGGGCACATCCCCAGTAGGAGGTGTGCAGGAGGCAGCTGATCGATGTTTCTAACTCTCTATCCCTCTCCCTTCCTCTCTGTGAAAAATCAATAAAATATATTTTTTTAAAAAAGGGCTCAGGTCTCCCGCCTCATCTGCCCAGCCAGCTCTCAGGCCCCCAGCACCCCCAGGCTCTGGCTCCAAAAGGCTCTCTCACTTCCGCCCAGACACTGCCCGGATTCCAGGTCATAGGCAGCATCGGGTGACTCAGGGTAACGCTCCCCCTCCTCCTAAAGGCAGGGCTCAATCAGTTCCAGGAAAGAGGGTGCCTTCTCTGTCCAACCTGTAGAGCTCACCGCCAAGGTGCGCCCGCACCCAGAGCCGTCCAGGCCCCAGCACAACGCCGGCCCCGCACCGCCTCCCCACAGGAGCAGCCCTGCTGCACGGAGGCAGCTCCCTGCCCGGGCCCGGCTGGCACAAAGCTCCAATTCATGGGCCTCACTGGTGGGGACAGCGGTGGCAGCGGCCTGGGATCCTGGGAGCTGCCACCACAGGAACGCCCGCTGGGAAGCGTAGGACCAGCCTGTGCTGAGCTGGAACACCACCTCCTTCCCTCCTTCCTGCCCTCCTGCCTGCACAGCGGCACCACCTGCTCCTCTCACTCAGCCTCCCACAGGCAGAGAGCCAGGGGAACAGGGCCACTTGGCGCGGTTAGGAAGAACCAGGGTTTGTTCTGAACAGGCAGTACCGCGATCGGACGTGGCTCTCAGCGGCCAGCGCACAGAGAGGCCATTATGAGCGGAGGTCAGGTTCTCAGGCGGCCTACAAAACCGTCCGCCCGAGCCCCGCGGCCTCCCAGCCACATAACTCACGCCGCGCGCACGCCCTGTTCCTGGGGAAGACCTGGGCCACAAGGACACATCCCAGGCCCCGAAGCCGCTCGCTGACCACGTGTGCTGCGTTACCCTGCTCCCTGCTCAGCGGTCCAGGAGGCAGGAAACGCTCCCAACTGCCCGCAGAGCAGCTGTGTCACCGGGCAAGTTCATTAACCCCCTCGGCCTCACTCTCCTCATCTGCAGAATGCGTCATAGCCCTGGCCGGGTGGCTCAGTCAGTTGAAGCATCGTCCTGACCGAAAGGTTGTGGGTTCGATCCCAAGCCAGGGCACACACCTAGGTTGCAGGTTCGATCCCCAGTTGGGGTGTGTATGGGAGGCAACCAATCGATGTTTCTTTCACATCGATGTTTCTCTCTAAAAATCAATCAAAGAAAAAAACATCTTTGCGTGAAAATTAACAAAATAAATTTTTTTAAAGGACCAATAATGTCCACCCCCCCGTGGGGCTGTTAAGCGGGGTCCATGCCTGTATGCACAGGAGAAGCACCAATTCCACCCACCAGCAGCTGCCGCTGCCATCTCTTCCCCAGCTTCTGGCACACCTGCCTCTCACCTGCCCCTCCCTCCCACGGCCCTGCTTGGTCGCCTGTGCGGATTCTCCTCCTCATTCTCCTCCTCCTGACAATTTTCTTCCCTTCAAGTCCTCTGACTTTTTAAACTATGTGAACGCGCCCTAGCTGGTTTGGCTCAGTGGATAGAGCGTCTGCCTGCGGACTGAAGGGTCCCAGGTTCGATTCTGGTCAGGGCACAGGGCTGGGTTGTGGGCTTGATCCCCAGAAGGGGGCGTGCAGGAGGCAGTCGATCAGTGATTCTATCATTGATGTTTCTATCTCTCTCTCCCTTTCCCTTCCTCTCTGACATCAATAAAAATATATATCTATTAAAAAAGTAAAATAAACTACGTGCACGCATCACTTTACTTTCACTGGTTTTTCTCGAAGTCTCCCTGATGATGACCACATGGTTTGACCGTAGTACAGTTAGAAAAGGAGTAAGGTTTATGGCTTGGCAATAAAGTAAAAAATAAAAAAGGCAAAAGCAACAGGCCCAGAGGCCAGGAACACTGGTTCGGAGCTCAGTACATTAGAACTCAGATGCTCACCGGGCCCCCAACGAAGGAACCTTCCACTCCTGATCACAAGGCTCCTGGGACTAACAGGGGAGCGACCGGCGTGCTTCATCTGCGAAGTGTATTCTAGATCCATTTGCAGCTTCAAGCTACACACGCCCTCTGACCACACTCAGGGCTCCCTTCGCAGGGCCAGCGATGGGACAGCCGAGGCGCAGGGAGGGGCCGGTGGGAGGAGGCGCTGAATAGAGATGAGCCAGCAAGGGAAGAGAGGGAGCTGGTTCCTGGTGGCTGCTGGGAGGGCTGGGCCAGAGGGCAGGCCGCACCCCTCAGAAGTTGGAAAGCCAGGCCTGTCCTGGAAGGGGCGGGGAAGGGGGCCGACTGCTGTGGCCAGAACCCCTTCTCCGCCCCTGGCAGGCAGGTGGCCCCACTCCAACCTGGCAGGAGGGCCCACCCCAGAGAAATTGCACAGAGGCCCCGAGTAGGGCCCTGGAATGGGACGGCAGGTCGCACGTTCTCAACATCGCATCCGTCGTCTCCCAGCAAGCTCTGAAGGTAGCTGGAGCCTCCCCAGGGCCCAGCACCAGGGCGAGCTCAGGGCTGCAGGGCACGCAGCTGGACGCTTAACACACCAGCCTCACCGTCTGCACTATGTCAACCTGCACTCAGCTTTCTGAGCCGCGGCTCCCAGAGCAGTGCAGCTGGTGCGCAGGCAGCAGGAATGACCGCCCCTCGTGGGCGTGGGCTCTCGGGTGCTCAGGCTGAGCACGAAGCTGCAAATCCACGGCCTGCTGATCCAGGAAAGGCCAGGCCCACGTGCCTGCTCTGCCCCCTGGACGGCCAGGTGCTGCCTGCTGGCGCGGAGGGAGCGGCGGGGGTGGGCGGCCGCAGCCTGCTGAGCTCTGGAAGCTCCAGAGCAAGTCTGGCTCCTTTCCTCTCAGGGGAAACCTCCTGAGGGGCGAGAGGAGGTCTGCAAAGGATACCCTTGTCTCCATTTTCTGTAACTCAGGGGCCAAGGTCAAGCTCTGGAGCTAGACTGACCCAGGTATACTGTCAACCTCAGCTCCTCCCTCGAGCCACTGCCCCATCAGTGAAATGGGCCGATGTGGGGAAGAAGTCAGCCAGTGCCTGCGAGCCCTCAGCAGAGTGAGCACTGACTACATGGGGACAACACACATGTCAGGGTCTCCTGCTACAGCCTGAGAGACCACCTAGCTGATCTGAGGCCCCCGCCACCTCCTCCCCACCCACAGCCCTCGGCAGCGGAGCCGGGGTGGCAGTGGAGCGGGGGTGGCAGCGGAGCCGGGGCAGCAGCGGAGCTGGTGTCTGCTGCCACCACATTCTGGGTAGTTTCTGGGAAATGATACCATTTTTCAAGATCAATTCTGTCCAGGTTTTCAAATATGTCTCAGGTAACAACGGCTTACCCCTTCAACGCTGGGCCCTCTCGAGAACACCCTTCAGTCCACAGCACGATCCAGTGGGATCCACGCGGTGCCATGCTAAGAGCCTGAGGTGGGTTCTCTGAGGCTGTGGTTCTACCTCCTCTCACCTTCACCACCGCGGCTCTGCTGCCACCCGGCTCCGCTGCCGAGGGCTGTGGGTGGGGAGGTGGCGGGGGTCTCAGATCAGCTAGGTGGTCTCTCAGAGGCTATAGCAGGAGGCCCTGACATGTGTGTTGTTGTCCCCATGTAGTCAGTGCTCACTTTGCTGAGGGCCAGAGCTGAGGGCTCACAGGCACTGGCTGACTTCCTCCCCACATCGTCCCATATCACTGACGAGGCAGGGTGGCAGAGGGAGGAGCCGAGATTGATCGGCCCTGCCATTCTGCCCTGGAGGGGACCACTGTCACCTCTCAGTAGTGGGCAGCCCCCCCTTCTGAGCCCACCTGTCTACCTCCCCCGCCTCGCCCCTGCAGTCCAGGTGGGATGCAGTGGGACCCTTCCAAACTGTGCTGGCTGAGCACGCACACAGCAGCGCCCACGGTGCACTCAGCCGCAAGCACGAGGACAAGGACGAGGACGAGGACGAGGGCGAGGCGGGAGCTCCAGCACCTCCGCCGCCTCACACCTGCCCCGCCCACGCACACAGCTTTCCCGCACCTCTCACCGCCCTGAGTCCCGTCCTGGCACACAGTACCTGCCCAAGCCCCCACCCAAGACTCAGCTCCTGGCGGGCAGGCATGCAGCTGGTTCATCTGGGCAGGCACACAGTAGGTACGCAATCGCTTGCCAATTCAAGGCCCTCTGCCACCCTCCAGGCCTCCAGAGGGCAGCCGAGGCTACGGAGGGCTGCGCCCCTCACCTGAGGTCCTTCAGCCGCTTGCAGTGCTTGAGCATGTCGGACAGGGCGGACATGTACACCACCTTCCCCATCATGCCCAGGTTGGCCAGCGAGAGGGACTGGAGCTGCTGGCACTGCAGGCCGATGCTGACCAGCCCGGAGCCCGTGAGAATGCTGGGCAGCTGGGCCAGCGTCAGGTGCCTCAGGAAGGCCAGTTGGCCGATGGCAGCCACCTCTGCGTCCCCCACGCTCTGCGCCCGGCTGCAAGGCGGGAGGGAGTTGCGGATGGCGGGCTCGTTGCGGGGCATGGCGGAGGAGAAGTTGGACCCAATCAGCTCGAGGCGCTCCAGGAAGGGCAGGCTCTTCAGCAGAGACCAGAACACGGAGGAAGGCTGGGGGCCCGCCTGCCCCGAGAAGGGGCTGGGACACGCCTGCACGCCGATGCGCACCTTCTTGCCGAAGCCGCAGGGCACAGCGTGCATGGCGGGCTGGGCGGGCTTGCGGTCGGCCCGTGGCGCCGAGTCGGCCACAGAGCAGACGGGAAGGGACAGGGAGCGCAGGTGGCACAGCCGGGCCAGCAGCTGGCACAGGTGCCGGCCTGGGCCCTCGGAGCTGTGGTGGTGGGCGGCCGACAGGTTGAGGTGGCGCAGGTTGCAGCAGGCCGCCACCAGCGTCTCCAGGATGCCGCTGTCGATGTCGTCCTCCGCCCGGCGCAGCAGGGAGTCGGGGGACAGGCAGTGGGCGCAGCCGCTGAGGTTCAGGCCGGCCAGGCTGCGCAGGTCCTTGCCCCCGTTGAGGATGTGCTGGATCAGGTGGCTGCCCGACAGCGTGCACCGGCTGAAGCTGAAGTAGAAGGGGTTGCTGAACTTCATGTGCTGGAGCAGGGCCGAGCCGTTGAGCCAGGACTTGGGCAGCTGCAGGGCGTCCAGCACAACGTTGCGGGCCATGGAGTCCAGGAGGTTCCTGGTGGCCCCGCTCTCGGCGAAGCTGCCCGGCACGGAGATGAGGAAGGCGTGCAGGTTCTCGGGGGTGCGGTCGCTGAGCACGGCCAGGTAGAGCCGCACCACCTCCTGGTTGATGTAGCCAGGCGCCAGGCGGGCGTAGAAGACACGCAGGTTCTGGTAGTGCGGCACGTTGCTCTGGCCCACAAAGAGCTGGCCCGACAGGATGGCGCCCTCGCGCGTGCGGTCCAGGATCTCGAAGTAGAGCAGCAGCTTCTCGAGGCTGGTGCAGCAGGGCACCACGCCGTACGAGGGCGTGAACAGCGTCTGCCTGAGCTCCCGCACGCGGCTCAGCGTGGCCTTGCACTCGCTGCTCAGCTGGCCGGCGTCGAAGCCGGGGCTCACGTCGATGGCCAGGGAGCGCAGGTGCTGCAGGGCTGACAGCATCTTGGAGAGGCGCAGGGAGGTGAGGTGGCAGCCCGACAGGTTCACCTTCACCAGGCTGCGGCAGCGGGCCACGTGCTCGATGGTGGAGCCCGACAGCCAGTAGCAGCCGGCCATGTTGAGCTGCTGGATCTCCCGGCCCATCTCCTTCAGGAGCTGCTTCACCTGGTCCTCGCGGGCCTGCAGGACAGGGCGGGCGGGGACGGGGAGAGGCTGAAGGCACCAGGTGTCTCCCTCACCTCACCGCTGAGGGCAGCCTCGCCCCCGGAACGTCAGGCATGGGAGGACCTGCAGAGGCCCTGCCCCCGGCTGAGAAGGGACACGCCGGGGAGCGCTGGTGCCCCTTTCCCCCCACACGCTCACCTTCAGCCAAATCAAGCCCCAGCTGGTGGGAATGGACATGGTGCAGCCCTTACCGCTGTGGGAACCTTTGGTGGTTCCGCAAAAAGCTTAACAGAGTCCCCATGGGCCACCCCCAAGTCCCAGTCAGTCCCACTCCCGGATGCACATCCATGGGACTGGACACTGCGACTCAGGCAGGTACTTTCACACCCACGTTCACAGCAGCGTGACCCACGATGGCCAAAAGGGGAAGCACCCACGTGCCCATCCCCGGATGAAGGATGAACAAAACGGGTCCGTCTATACAACGGAATAGCATTCAGCCACAGAAAGGAATGAAGTTCTGCTACAACATGATGAACCTGGGGACATTATGCTCAGTGAAAGAGCCAGTCACAAAGGACCCCATACCTAGGGGTCTACCTACATGAAACATCTGAAGAGCCAAAATGACAAACAGAAAGTAGGACAGGGGTCACCAGAGGCTGGGGAAGGGGGGCAGTTATTGCCAACAGCTCCCCAGTTCCCGCTTGGGGCGAGGAGAGGTTTGGAAAGGCTGCACAGCACCGCGCATTGCTCAGCTCCACGGAATGTGCGCGTAAGCGGGTGAGGCAGTACACTGTGTTATGTGGCGCTCTTCCTCGCACAGTGGAACCACGCCCTGGAAGCTGGCCCTGCGGTGGCTTTCCTTCCATCACATGCATTTTCACACCCTAGAAGTCCGGCCCGCCTGCTCGGATGAGTCGCAACATGTCCAGACGGGCCCAGCGGCCAATCAGCGACAGATGGACATGCGTCTGTTGCAAGCAAGGCCTTGGGACAACACTGCACCGGGCACCCGTGTGTGTCACCCTCAGGCATCTGACCGCTTCTCTGAGGTCAGCATCCCACGTGGAACCTTGCAGGTGGAGGACATGCACGTTAAACCTGCAGACACGCTGAGGGGCACGGCCCCCTGCAGGAAGCGCCCTCTTGGGCAGGAAGCCGGACCTGAATCCGAGCAGGAGTCCACGCAGCCTCCCCGCCCCACAGGGAGGCCCCGCCTGCTCTGCACAAAGAGCCACAGCCCTGGAGCGGCTCCTTCGAGCTTTCAGGCGCCACTCCCTCCCCAGTAAACAGCGAGGAGCCTTCCCCAGTCTCCTGTGATTTGAGCTACGGTCAAGGCCTCAGTTTATTTTTATCTTTAAGATCGGTTATCAACTGATTTTCAACAAAGGCTGCAAGGCCATGCATGAGGATAGGCTAACCACATGCCAAAAAGTGAGCCTCAACCCCTACCTCACACCGCAGAGAAGGATGAACACAACATGGACCACAGGCTTACCCGTGAGAGCTAAAGCGACCATGAGACTTCCATCGGACAACACAGGAGAGGGCTGGGACAACTGGGCGCCACATGCATGAGCATGAGCCATGGCCATCTCACACCAAACACAAAAACAGCTCCAAATGGATTAAAGACTTGAATGTAAAACCTGAAACCATACAAGTCCTAGAAGAAAACATAGGCTGTAAGTGCCTTGACAGCATCTTGGCGATGATTTTTTGAATCTGACACCAAAAGCAACAAAAGCAAAAATAAACCAGCGGGACTACATCCAGCCAAAAAGCTCCTGCACAGCAAAGCCCGCAACAGAATGAGAGACAACCCACCGAGAGGGAGAGAATATCTGCAAATCATATGTATAAGAATTAATATCTAAAACATATAAGAAACTCATGGCAAATAAAACAAACAATCCAGGTAAAAAATGGGCAGAGAATATGAATAGACATTTTCCCCGAGAAGATATACAATGGCCGGGCTGGTGTGGCTCAATGGTTGGGTGTTGAGCTATAAACCAGGAGGTCACGGTTTGATTCCCAGTGAGGGCATATCCCTGGGTTGTGGGCTGGATCCCCACTGTGGGGCGTGCAGGAGGCAACGGACCAATGATTCTCGCTCATCATTGATGTATCCATCCCTCTCTCCCTCTCCCTTCCTATCTGAAATCAATAAAAACATATTTTTTTAATATATCTTATTGATTTTCCACAGAGAGGAAGGGAGAGGGACAGAGAGTCAGAAACATCAATGACAGAGAAACATCGATCAGCTGCCTCCTGCACACCCCCCACTGGGATGTGCCCGCAGCCAAGGTACATGCTCTTGACCGGAATCGAACCTGGGACCCTTCAGTCCGCAGGCCAACGCTCTATCCACTGAGCCAAACCGGTCAGGGCAAACATATATATTTTTTAAAGATGATGACAACAAAGGAGAGAATCTCGTGACCTCAGGTTACACAAAGATTTCTTCAACAGACTATAACAGGCATGAATTAAAAAATTCAACAAATTGGATTTCACCAAAATTAAAAACGTACACTCTCCAAATGTCACTGTTAAGAAAATGAAGTGGCAAGCCACAAACTATGAGAGAAAATATTCGTAATATGTGTATCGGACAAAGGATTTGTATCCAGAATATATACAGACTCTTGTAACTCACAAAGAGAAAGAGAGACAACGATAAATGGGCAACAGCCTTGCACAGTCATTCCGGAAAGACATACAAATGGCCCACACAGCTGATGTGCAAGTGCAAAGCACAAGATCACGTCCCATCCTAGAATGGCTAAAACTGAAAACACAGACAACACCAAGTGCTGACGAGCATGAGGCGCAACCACACGGCGGGTCCCCCGCTGGTGGGTGTCCATGGTGCTCCCTGCACCCCTCAGAGCCGATGTGTGACTTCACAGGAAAGTTCCCACCGATCCTGAGAGTCAGCTGCAACGTGAGGCTTCCTCCCAGCCAAGGCCGCCCACAGCAATGCCCCGACACCGCGCCCTCCTCCCCGGCGCACACTCTGCTCCTTTAGGCCCCAGCTTTTGTCACATAAGCATCTTGGAGGCTGTCCCGTGAGAACTCTGACGCCTGCCTCCTGTCATGAGCTGCAGGTGCCCCTCCTCAGATGGGCGTTTTGGTTGTTCCCCATCTCCTGCCCCCAAGAGCCAGCACCCCGCACCCGCGCCTCACCTCGTAGTCCTTCTCCAGCAGCACCGTGTGGGTGAGGCTCTTGTCCAGGCACAGCTCGGCTAGCTTCCGGCATGTGTGCCGCACGTTCACCACCAAGTCTGTGCTGGGAACGTGGCTCAGGATGTGCAGCAGGATCTCGTCGGAGAAGCCCAGCAGGTGGGCACTGCCCGCCATTGCAGCGGCCGCGGGGGTCGAGTCGCCATCACTGGAGAGGTCCTGCAAATAAGAGGCACCAAATCCCCATGGCATCCCGTTGGGCAACCCTCAGCCCAGCCTCCCAGCCAGGGAGAGAAGCCAAGAGAAGCCCGCCCTGTCCGTGGGAAAGAAGGTGCTTTTACCAGAAACCTAACTGCAGAGCAAGAACCCACGACAGCCCAGCCAGCGTGGCTCCGTGGTTGAGCATCAACCTATGAACCAGGAGGTCACGGTTCGATTCCCGGTCAGAGCACATGCCTGGGTTGCAGGCTTGATCCCCAGTAGGGTGTGTGCAGGAGGCAGCCGATCCATGATTCTCTCTCATCATTGATGTTTCTCTCTCTCTCTCCCTCTCCCTTCCTCTCTGAAATCAATAAAAATATATTTAAAAAGAAAAGAAACAACTGGAGGAATAGTGGGTCTTCACCTCACAGGGCTGCTGTGAGGGTAAACGAGTCAATGCATACAATCCGCAGAGCCGTGTGGATGGTAACTCTTTGCAGCTCTATCATTAAGGCAAATAAAACGAGAGGGACAGCCATGGAGAATGAGACTCTAAGTCCGCACAAACAAGAAACAGCACTGACCAGACTGGCAATATTATTCCATGTTCAGATTAGTGATAAATCACAGGGACTGGTTTATCTGCATCTCGTGCATCTGGTTAGAAGCGTGGTGGTGCGTCCAACCAGCTGTGCACACGCTTCCTTGCACTTCCGTGATCTGCACGGCTCTCCTCCCGAAGGGGCCTTCCTTCCGTCCCACTGCCAATGCCTTTTGATGTGCACAACCAAGGGGGGGCTCGACCGAGGTCAGTCCTCACGAAGTCCCCAAATCAAGGCCAAAGGAAGTCGGATGCTCTAACAGGAGCCCACGGGGGAAGGAATCCGTGCCTCCCAACACCTGCCCAAACAGACGCTCCTGCCTCCAAAACGTCTGAGGGGCGCCTCTCTGCCCACTCCCAGGAGAGTACCCAGAATTCTCTCCGCTGCCTTTTCCAGCGAGTCTCCCTACAGCCCCTCCTCCAGCTGCCTTTTCTGCACATGTTTTCGTGGATGGAAGCGCTGAGGCTTGGAAAGCCCTGCTGCTGCCATGGCAACTGTGAAGTCTGCGGAGGAAGAACCTGTCTGCAGCCCATGACAGGCATCATGGGGTCCCACCCTGTCCGAGGAGCCCTACCCCCCCCCCAAGGCCCCAGCGGGCCAGGAAGGGGTTCAAGGAACACACCCCATCTGCTCCACAGCTCGGCTTTCCCGCGCCCCTTCCTCATAGGGCAGCAGTCAGACGGGACTGTTCTGTCCCCCTGACTGCCCTCACTCCCGGCTCCCTTCCCCCACGGCTACATGGGCAGGAGGCAGCCACCAGACCCAAGTCCACGGCTATCCTGGGTTGCTGTATTCTGGGTCCAATGTTTTGGACCACAGTGAGTTTCCTTAGAAATTTCCCAGACCGAACCACCTGTTAAAAATCAGGTTCCCACCCCCACTAGCTCTAGGGACTCCATCTCCAGGGACAGTCCTGAGCAGGGACAGTCCTGAGCAGGCAAGCTTGGCAAACAGGCCTCGGGCACCGAGCGGGTTACCCCTCCTGACCCCCCACCTGCAGATTTACCAAAGGAAGAATGTCAGCGGAGAGTGACAAGACATAGGGCAAAGCACTGCACAGAACACCAAATCATACGATTTCCAGTTACACTACTAATTCTAAACTTTCTTAAAACCACCTAGAAATTACATTTTTAAAAAAAAAGCCAGGAACTAAGTCCGGCCCCTCCGTCCAGTCTCAGCACATCCCCGGGATGACTGTTTCCACGTGCTGTGCCCTGATGCGGGCAGCAAGTCATTTCATTCCCCGGGACTCAGAACTTCAGCTCAAATGCCCCCTCCCACTCCTGGCTTCACCAGATACCCTCCTCCCCCCAGACCCTAGTCGTCAGATGAACTCTAATGGTCTGCTTGCTCACCTATCTCCTCACGAGGCAGGAATGCATCGTTTTTTAACACCCAAGAGAAAGAGGCCCTGAACCAGGCAAGTTAAGGAACCACCTGCCTCAGAATCATTTGAAGCAGAACTCTACTCCTCCGTACCTGTGGGGGGACCCTGGGGATCCGAGCTCTAGAACCAGCAGTGACTTTCAAAGTCAGAACAGCCCACTCTGGAATCAGATAGTGAGGACGGTTGCACAACTTCGTGAATATATTTTTTAAAACCACTGAATTGTAGCCCTACCCACTTGGCTCAGGGGACAGAGCGTCAGTCTGCAGACCCAAAGGTCCTGGGTTCGTTTCCGGTCAAGGGCACGTACCTCAGTTGCAGGGTCCTCCCCAGTCCAGGCCCTGGTCGGGGCGCTTGCAGGAGGCAACCAGCAACCAATCAAAGTGTTTCTCTCACATCGATGTTTCTCTCTGTCTTTCCCTCGCTCTTCCACTCTCTCTAAAAATCAATGGAAAAATATCCTTGGGTGAGGATTAAAATAATAAAATAAAATCACTGAATTGTACACTTTAAAGGTGTGCGTTCTGCCCAGCTGGTGTGGCTCATGGTTGAGCGTGGACCCATGAACCAAGAGGCCGCCTGCTCAAGTCCCACTCAGGGCACAGGCTGGCAGTGCAGCCTTGATCCCCAGCGGGGGGCGTGTGGAGGCAGCCAACTGATGTTTCTCTCTCATCAATGATGTTTCTCTCTCTCTCTAAAATCAAAGACATATTTTTAACTGTGAATTTTATAGTATGTGAACTATATCTCTATAAATAAATAAAAAATTAGACCATCTGAGAGAGGGGGACCTTGATCTCCACATCCAGGGTGGAACGAGACTCCTCTCAACCCAAGACACGCCCACAAGGCAACAAGAGGTGTCGCCGGCCAGGTTCCCAAAATGTGCCTCAAGGAACAGGGGGGCCTCTGCTCCAGGAACCCCCTAAGACCAAGGTACCAGACACGAGGCACCTCCCACCCCACCCCCCATCCAACCTCCGCCTCAAACACACACAATGCACCAGCATCATTAGCATAGCCAGGCGCCCCCGGGCTCCTCCTCAGGAAGCTGCCATGCTCCTGCCCTCCCAGCCCCCACCCGCCTGCAGGTGGGCCCCACGCCCTCCCCCTCAATCTAGGAGCCCCGGGACCTCCTGAGCCAAACTCACTGCCAAGTTGGAGGAGCTGTGAGCTACTCCCAACCATCTCCCCCACAACGTACTCAAGCCCATCCGCTCCAGTTCCCCAGCCCCAGGGGCGCCCCTAAGCAGGAAGAAGACAAGCAGGGGTACCCATAAAGGTAGTGGGGGGTAACGAAGGGGAAGACACTGGTCAGAGGAGACAGCTTGCAATACTTTACAGGGAGCCGGTGGGATTCTCCATTGGACTCAGATTTGTGGAGCGTTGGGGAAGGAATTCGGGGTGACTCCTAAGTCCCCCCAGATGAAATGGCTTTTCCTTTACTACCCCCCCACACCCTCCCCCCGCCCCCCCACACACACATCACACAACAAGCAGGCTCAGACTGTGCATTCAGAGACAGAGGATGGGCTGCGGGGCGGTTGGGGAGGGAGGGCCTCTTGGAGGCCTGGACACGGGGCGGAGAGGCGGGAAGAACTCGGGGGATGGGCCTGCCGGGCTGGGAAGGGCGAGGAAACCCGCACGAGGAGAGAGCTGCTGCCTTGGTGGATCGGGGCGAAGGCCTGGGGGGCGGGATGGGCAAGGCCGGGGTCGGGACGGAGGAGAAGGGGCGAGGCCGAGTTCAGGGTCGGGACAGGAAGGACCAAGCCCGACCGACGCCAGGGTCGGGGCGGAAAGGACCGGCCGGGACCGGGGCCGGGGTCGGGACGGAAAGGACGGAGCGGAAGAGGGGCGGGAGGGGGCCGCAGTCGGGAGGGGACACCGACGGGCGAGGCCGCCGTACCTCTCCGGAGCTGGCCATGTCGAGGGGGCCCGAGCCGCGCCCGCCGCAGCCGCAGCCGCAGCCGCAGGGCCTCCCGCCTGGGCGACCAGGGACGCTCAAAGCCGGCGCGTCCGCGGCTCCACAGAGACCCCGGCCGGGGGGCGGGGCCTCGCTCACTTCCGGCGCCCTGGACACGCACTTCCGGTCGCCCGTCGGCTCGCCCCGCGCGGCCGCCATGTTGGGTGCGGCGCCGCGACGAGGCCCCACTAAGGCGCGGGACGGATCTGGGAAGACCCCCAAGGGGCCCCCCTTGCTCGGTGGCCTCCTCTCTTAGCTTTAGTGAGTTTAAATGTCCACGCGTGGCCAGGGGCGCCCCGAGGGGCGGTGCCGCCGGGGAGAAGCCCGGGGGGCAGGGCCAGTCCTCCAGTTGCCGCCGCGCTCCCGCCCCGAGCTGTGCAGCTGCGCCGAGGACCAGCTGCGTGATGAGTGCGTGGAGGCGGCCACCAGCCCCAGGGCTTCCCGAGTGACTCCAGGCCGGAACATGGGTTCGAATCCCGACCCTTGGGCGCTGCCTTCGCCTCCAAGCCCTTTCCCCGCAGGCGCCTGCCCGCAGTGTCAGGAGGAAGGGGAGCCCCAGGGCCCTGCCCCTGCGCTGACCTGGACCCCCTGCTCCGAGGCGCGCTGAGTGCAGCTGTCCGGGCGGGGCTGCCCACTAAGGGGGTGCGCCTCGGGCAGCCAGAGCTGCCTCGCGGGGGAGCCAGCCCCCCAGAAAGGGAGCGGTCCCCGTCCCGGGCCGGGAAGCTGCGGGGGAGTTAGAAGGAAAGCCCACCTTCTATCAAACAGAACTTGCGTGTGTCTGGACCCTCGACCCGTCCGGGGAGGCGATGGAGCGAGCAGGCGGCGACCGGACTACCGAGGTGTTAGGGTGAATAAACTCCCGCTTTCTCCCTTCCCTTTGTGTCACCTGGGGTCAGCCTCCAGCCTCTCTCAGCCTCGACTTCCCACCTGAGAATGTGCGCGAAGCGGCAGGCGGGAGGCGGGAGGCCATGTGCATCCTCTCACTGAGCCTGGCCTGGCCGGGTGGTGCTGGGCCTTTGCTCCGGGCCAGACCGCTGACAGCATCGGATGGTCAGCCCGCTGCCGCCTGGGGGGAAAGGAGCAGCGCCTAGAGGACTCGCCAGGTCAGATGTGTCTCAGCTGCACTTCCGGAGGTTTTCAAAGGAGAAGATTGATGGAGCTCCTGCTTGCAACTCCCCCTCCACTTGTTCCACCGGTCCGGTTTCTCAGGTGTGCACGCAGACCGCATCTGGCCCCAACCACCCTCCCCTTCCTCCCCGAGGGTGACGGCTGTGTCTCGTCCCTAGGCATCTGTCCCGTCAGTCCAGGCGTCTGTCCCGTCAGTCCAGGCGTCTGTCCGAGACAAGCATGCCCAAACTTCCACCTGCTCAAATCGATGTCTCTCTCAAATGAATTTTTAAAAAACTTACTTGTAGCCGAAAAAACTTACTTGTAGCCGAAACCGGTTTGGCTCAGTGGATAGAGCGTCGGCCTGCGGACTGGAAGGTCCCAGGTTCGATTCCGGTCAAGGGCATGTACCTGGGTTGCGGGCACATCCCCAGTAGGAGATGTGCAGGAGGCGGCTGATCGATGTTTCTCTCTCATCGATGTTTCTGACTCTCTATCTCTCTCCCTTCCTCTCTGTAAAAAATCAATAAAATATATTTAAAAAAAAACTTACTTGTAGCTCCCAGAGCTCAGGCTTGTACTATCAACTGATTGGCCCAAAAGAGCTAGAACTGGCCCAGGAGGGACTTCCTGTCACAGACCCTGCTCCTGGGGCCTCTGAGACTTTTGGGGTTGGGGGAGCCACAGAAGCATCCTGGGCACTGCTGCCACGTCTGGACCAGCGGCTACAGCCCATGGGGCTGCTGTGGTGTTTTGGGGCCTAGACTAGGAAAACCTAGTGAGCCCAGGGGACCCCGGGCTCCTGTTCGGTTTTGGAAGCCATCAGGAGGTCTTAGAACCGTCTCCTCCTCACCAGGGGGAAATGACTGTCCGGATGGGCCAATCTCCACTCTTCCTCTGGAAGAGGACCCAAGGCCACAGTGCCCCTCCAAGGAGGGGAGCACACCCTCAGCCTCAAACCTGGATTGATAGGGATCCAGCTGTGCCTCAGGAGGAATGGGGCAAGATCCCTGGCGGCGGGGGGGCTCACCCTCTTTCTCTGCTGGTACCAGCAGCAGTTGCTGGCAGGGGAAGGGCAGGCCAGGCTTGTTTTCTTCAAGAGCAGTGACTTGACTTAGAGCCCTGCAAAGCCCCTTGCTGACCTGCAGACAGGAGAAAGGCCCCCTCCAGGATCCCGGCCGCTTCCTCCCCTGCAGGGTCCCAGGAGGACTAGGCTGGGATTGCACTTGCCCATGCATAGGAAGGCATCCACCCCACAAGGTAGAATCCTGACACCCCAAGCCATCTCCAACCTTCACCCGTACCCCAGCCCTGGTCACGGTGCTGCCCTGCAGACCCCTAGATAAATCCCCTCTTCAGCTGTCTTGGTCACTCCAGATGAGGCCACAGGTTTGTAACCCTGTTCTCAACCTGAGACCCACAGAGGGTGTGGCCTAGCAGCCACCACTGCCCCTCCCAAGAGGACACCAAGGTCAGAGACCTCCTCAGAGGAGGCACAAAGGTACCCACCCAACCCTGAGCCAAGTCCCTGGAACTGAGCCCCTCTTGAAACCCACCTGCACCTCAGAAACCAGCTGGGGACCAGGCCAGGGATTTCCTTTCTAAGTCTAGAAGCCAGGATCCTGAACTCCTTCCTCCTAAGAGCCCCCCAACCCAGATGGGTCCAGGCCTGGGTTAGAGCACCTCTCCTTCCCCCCTTAGCAGTAGAGATGGCCTGGCCCCCACCCTCCTCCCAACCGCACCCATTTCCCCAAAATTCATCCACGCCACAAAGTTCCTTTAAGGTGTGCACTTTATTGAACTGGTCTCGTCAGTGTACAGGTAAGCCCTGCTTGGCCGCCTCCACACCTCAACCCACTCCCTGGGGGACCAAAAGCCTTCATACATCAAGTTGGGGACAAAAAGGGGGGCCACGATGGCTGGCCATTCAAAATAAAACAAAAAGAACAGGTATTAAGGCGAAGATTAAAAAATTTGGATTACATAATTTACACAAAAGCAATGCAATCACCCTCCCCGTGTGGACTCGGGCGAGGACTGGCCCTCCTTAGGGATTAGTGGGCGGCCTTGGGGCAGGCAAGGGACTTCCTGTAACAATGCATCTCGTATTTGGAATGACTATTAAAAAAAGAACAATGTACAATCAAAGTCCTCGGCCACATTGTAGAACTTTGGGGATGCTCGCTTCAACAGACTGCTGTCACCTTCACCGTTCCAGTTTTTAAATCCTGAGTCAAGCGCCAAAAAAAAAGATCAAAAAAACAAAAACAAAAAAAAAACAAAGCCATGCCAATCTCATCTCGTTTTCTGCGCAAGTTAGATTTTGTCAAGAAAGGGTGTAACCAACTAAGTAACAGTCCGCCTAGAAGCATTTGCGGTGGACGATGGAGGGGCCGGACTCGTCGTACTCCTGCTTGCTGATCCACATCTGCTGGAAGGTGGACAGCGAGGCCAGGATGGAGCCGCCGATCCACACAGAGTACTTGCGCTCAGGGGGCGCGATGATCTGGGGAGACAAGGGGACAGTTAGCCTAAGGACCCTGCTGGCGACCACAGGGGCCCAGCCCACCAAGGCCAGACTGTGACACTCCCCCGGACCAGGCCAGCTTAGCTGGGCGGACACTCACCTTGATCTTCATCGTGCTGGGAGCCAAAGCAGTGATCTCCTTCTGCATCCTGTCGGCGATGCCTGGGTACATGGTGGTTCCACCAGACAGCACCGTGTTGGCGTACAGGTCCTTACGGATGTCGACGTCACACTTCATGATGGAGTTAAAGGTAGTTTCATGGATGCCACAGGATTCCATGCCTGAAGGGAACGAAGGCCGGACTTAGCTTCCAGTGCTGCCACAAGGGTGGCCTTTGTGCGGGACAGGCAGAGGCCTTACTCACCCAGGAAGGAGGGCTGGAAGAGGGCCTCGGGGCAGCGGAAGCGCTCGTTGCCGATGGTGATGACCTGCCCGTCGGGCAGCTCGTAGCTCTTCTCCAGGGAGGAGCTGGAGGCTGCGGTGGCCATCTCCTGCTCGAAGTCCAGGGCGACGTAGCACAGTTTCTCCTTGATGTCACGCACGATTTCTCGCTCGGCTGTGGTGGTGAAGCTGTAGCCACGCTCGGTGAGGATCTTCATGAGGTAGTCTGTCAGGTCCCGGCCAGCCAGGTCCAGACGCAGGATGGCGTGGGGGAGGGCGTAGCCCTCGTAGATGGGCACCGTGTGGGTGACCCCGTCTCCGGAGTCCATCACGATGCCAGTGGTACGGCCAGAGGCGTACAGGGACAGCACGGCCTGGATGGCCACGTACATGGCGGGGGTGTTGAAGGTCTCGAACATGATCTGTAGGGAGAAAAGGGTCATGTCACACTGGGGAAGACACCGGGCACAGTCAGGCCAGACCAGAAACATGCAGAGAGTGCAAGGAACACAGGTTAAGTGTGCTAGGGACCCCAGAATGGGGATTCACTTCAGACCTACTGTGCACCTACTGAATACACACTCCCAAGGCCACTTCACATCCGCCTCATTGGCTTTGTCACACGAGCCAGTGTTAGTACCTACACCCACAGACTTTACACTTAAAAAACCTAGTCAGAGAAGCAAACACCAGAAAGATTCCATCTGGAGAAAAGCAAATAGAACCTGCAGAATTCCAAAGGAGACTCAGGTCAGAGAAGAAAGTCCTAGGAGAATGGCAGAGAAAGAACCAGTGAGAAAGGGCGTGGCAGAGGGGACAGGAAAGGATGGGGAGCTGCGCAGGGAAGGCCAAGGGCCACCAACCTGGGTCATCTTCTCACGGTTGGCCTTAGGGTTCAGAGGGGCCTCGGTGAGCAGGACAGGGTGCTCCTCAGGGGCCACACGCAGCTCGTTGTAGAAAGTGTGATGCCAGATCTTCTCCATGTCGTCCCAGTTGGTGACGATGCCGTGCTCGATGGGGTACTTCAGGGTCAGGATGCCTCTCTTGCTCTGGGCCTCATCACCCACGTAGGAGTCCTTCTGGCCCATGCCCACCATCACACCCTGCGGAAGGAGCAGCGAGGTGCCCTCAGTGTGGGCCAGATCCCAGCGACCCCCACCCAGAAACCTAAAGGACTCTCGCGGAGGAGCTCCACCCACCCTCC